TAACTGGCCTGTTTTCATTCTCATCTATCATCCTTCACTGGTGCTCCGCCAGCGTATCCCGTTAGCGTTAAAAAAAAAATATTTTGTTTATAATACTAATGAATGATATCAAATAAATAATTTGTAAACCAATAGAGATACATCTGTAACTGTTTTTTTTTGCTGGGTGAAAATGGTATGGTAACCCCGCCTGCGCTAACGTGATACGCTGGCGGAGCACCAGTAAAGGGTGATAGATGAGAATGAAAACAGGCCAGTTAGCCCATCATGATGGATTCATCAGGAATTAACCAAGATAGTTTCCAGGGGGAACCGCGAGGAGGTCGACCTCCTGTAACTGTTTATCTATAACGATTTTAAATTTTTTTCACCGTATAATTTTTTGCTAAAGATTTTACTAAAGGTTGTGGTCTGTTTTGCTAAAGGTTGACTGGGAGAGAATGTTATATAGCATTCAGTCCGTCTGTTGTACCAAATATTTTTTGTAATATTGTCAATAAGGAATAAATAAATAAATAATATAGATTTTTATTAAGTGCACATCAAGTTTAAAACCTACTTTCGCATTTTTAATGGTTTCCTATCACTATACCAACACTGTTATTTAACTATTTTTTTTCACTGGAATTTTACTTTTTGTTACCACATAGGAAGTGATAACTGATCAAGCATTCCGCCAGATGAAAATGTGGTAACTGTGTCCATTACGTAGTTATTACTTGCTCGGCGACTTAGACAGTAATGGTACGGCTATTATCTCAGTTAATGCATTACCTTCCTTTTTATTTTTACATCTCTCACATTACGGTAAATAAAGCATCTTGAAATTATATGGCCTTAGTTTTTTTTTTTTATGGATGATAATGGAATGATGTCCCCGCCTGTGCGTGGGAAAAGGGATTGTTAGTAATGGAGACTGAGAATCCCATTGCTAGCAATATACTCAACCAGGTCGACCTCCTCGCGGTTCCCCCTGGAAACTATCATGGTTCATTCCTGATGAATTCATCATGATGTGCTAACTGGCCTGTTTTCATTCTCATCTATCATCCTTCACTGGTGCTCCGCCAGCGTATCCCGTTAGCGCAGGCGGGGTTACCATTCCACTTTCATCCATCAAAAAAAAAGACCCCACCTTTGCTACAATGTATACTGATACACTGGCTGGGTACTAGTGAGGGATGATTGGTGAAGATGAAAAAGCAGCTCAGTTAGCCCATCGTGACGAATTCAACGATAAATTAGTCACGATGGTTTCCAGGGAGAATCGCGTGGAGGTCGACTTGGTAGAATATATTGATAGCAATGGGGATTAACCTCTCAATTACTAACAATCCCTTCCTCCCATATGTTCTCAGTTATGTAGGTACATAGTGAAGAGACTTCAATAATTTAATAGTTTGTTCTACAAAAAAACACAGACTTCATTTGGATCAAAATGGAGATTTGCAATTCGATTTTTTTGTTGTGTTTGTTACCTCATAACTGCGTTAGTTATAAACCAATTTGGAAAGCTCTTTTTTATCTGAAAAGATATACTTACAGATTAGTTCTATAGAAATTTAATAGAAATCGATTCAGTATTTTAATTTTGAGATCAAAATAAGTAGGTTTTTTTTTCACAATTTAATTCGTTTTTGTGAAATACAACTTTAATTATTTTTTAAACAAAAACTAAACTGCTTTAAATCTGAAAGTATGTATATCCTTACAGATAAAAAAGAATTTTCCAAAACAGCTTATACATAACAAAGGTGACAATAAAAAAAAACTAAAAAATATCAATCTCTCCCTTTTCAAATTATTTCAAAACAGCTGATTGTGACATAAATTAATAATAATAAGTATCACATTGCATGCGTCACCTAACCTCCATGCTAGGATAGCCTGAGTGTAGAAACTAGGCTACGACCACCTCGAGGTACACCCGGAACGCCCAGACCCGAGTTAATAGAGAAAAGTCGGGGGGGGGGGCATAGTAATGCAGCCTACCAGTCACATTGCTAGCAATATACCCTAGCAGGTCGACGTTTAAGTGTTTCCCCCTGGAAACCATCGTGCTGAATTCCAGGTAAATTCATCACGATAAGCTAACGTTCCTGTCTTTTCTTCCTCACTTCTTACCGGTGCCCCGCCAGCGTATACTTTACCGCTACCATTCCATTATCATCTATTAAAAAAAAGATACAAAACGTTCGTTATCTGTAGTTATTATGAACTGTTGAGATGTTGGAAAAGTCTGTGGGAGATACGATAGGATTGTTCGTGTTTGTTGCCTTATTAGGTCTTAATTATTGCAGAACATTATTCCATTGACTTATAGTTTTTTTTATACTACTTAGAATGGCAAACAAGCTGACGGCCCACCTGATGGAAAGTGGTAACCGTCGCCTATAGACATGAGCAGTACCATGGACATAACAGACTATACTTTTATTCCTCTGTACCCAGTAAATTCACGCCATATCCCAACCTTCAAACCGAAACACAGCCATGCAAACACAACTGCTTCACGGTTGAAACACGAATGGGGCAGAGGTACCCAAGCAATCGACTTATGTACAGTCTCCCTCTGGTGACTTAAAGTAGTTTAGCAGACTCTAATTGTAAATTGTAAAAATCTTTATTGTACATAAGTCAGATTAAATACTAGTAAATGATTTAGTATACAATGGCGGACTTATCCCATAAAGGGATCTCTTACAGTCAACCTTTGAGAAGCTGAAAGAAAACTGTAGAATGTATAAGGGTAATAACCGTACAATTAAAGATAAACTAAATAATAGCCAGTAAAAAAAAATTTAATATATAACACAATAAAAACAGCTCTATATACCTACATATGTAAATAATAAAAGTAAATTAATAATAATATAACATTAATAAATAAAAACTTATACACATACACATACATATATACACATATACACACATACATATACATATACATATATATATACATATATATACATACATAATCATATATAATCATAAAATTGATAATTTTTATCATTACTGATTTTGACAATTTTGTTGATAATTTCCACTAAAATACACCCAATTATGGTATAATAACAGTAATATAGAATTTTGACCCGAAATTTGAACGATCCCATCTTCCCGATGGGATTTGATTGAATGCCGATCAAATTCCATGTTGATTGATGACATTCAAATTGTGAGAAGTGGCCCCAATGTTTGAGTTCATATTGAATCTGATTTGAACTGAATGAACATCTGTTTGATTATCATCAAAATCATAAATTTAATACGAATAATAATTATATATGTAAGATCAGAGGGAGACTTTGTACAAAAGTCGATTGCTTGGGTACCTCTGTCCCATCCATGTTTCGACCGTGAAGCAGTTGTGTTGGCATGGCTGTGTTTCGGTTTGAAGGGTGGGATATGGCGTGAATTTACTGGGTACAGAGGAATAACACCTGAGCCCTCAGGAATGGCAACGCATGGGGGGTATCATGGGCGAAACAGTATACTCTGTTATGTCCATGATACTGCTCGTGTCTATAGGCGAGGGTTACCACTTTCCATCAGGTGGACTGTCAGCTTGTTTGCCATTCTAAGTTGTATAAAAAAAATTCATCATTATTACAAAATATCAACCTAACCATCATCTACTGCTAATCATAGGTCGCCCTCATAATTTCTTAAAAAGTACAATCCTGTGCCACTTGTGTCCAGTGCCTACCTATAACACATTCTATATCCTTACTTAAAATTATATTTATTGTAAAAATATATATATATATATATATATATATATATATATATATATATATATATATATATATATATATATATATATATTAATTTCTTTATATAATTTATAATTTAACATTACTCGTCAACTGCTTTAACCATGTTGTATGTACACCTGTCTGAGTCTCAATCTAGTTCATACTATTATCTTTATATAAATATTTATAATGTTATTGATTGTAACCTGTTGTGTATACCTTTTAAATAAAAATTAAATAAAAAAATACCTACGAACAATAGATAGATAGATACTCTTTATTGTTTCCTCCAAAAGATTACAATAGTAAACTCATTCTAGATATAAACAATTACAAGAAATAATCACAATCTCGGTCACGGTCTTCATATCAAATTGTACCTCATGTTGTCACTTTATTCTACCTTTTGTGAAGAGAAAATAAACCATTCATTCATTCATTCGCTATTCTCGTCCATATTTGTAATAGATAATTTTATAATGAGAAAACATTTTAATAATTTTAAATAACCTGCGATGGATGTATCTAAATAAAGTAAAAAGCATGTTAATTTCAAAAAGAATTATTAAAATCAAATCGCGAATAATATGCGAAGAGATCTCGTAATATATTGTATATATGAATAAATACACAAACATGAACACATATACGTACGTACAAATAAAATATAGATGAGTTACAATGCTCTCCTTTCGGAAGACAGTCATGTTTTAATCAGTCATCAAAGAACTCACAAGGGAAATAGTAATTACACATTCTAATTTAGTAATTTTTAATTAATGGTTTTTTTTTCAACAACTTTAATTGCTTAAAATTTCATTTGCATATCAAATAATTGTATAATCAACATAATCAAAAATAATCATCAACACTTTATGCATATAGTATTCAGTAAGTATAATTATATATTTTACAACTTTATGAATTGTAAAATATCTTTTATATAAACATACCATTGTTTAAAACCATAAAAAAGGAATGTAAACTGCAGTGGAATCTCGATTATCCGAACACTGATTATACGAATATCCGATAATCCGGACTTATTCCTCGCGGCTCTAATTACCGATTTAGAAATGGTATTATGTATTAATTGGGTAAATTAATCTATTACTTCTAAAGCTTGTAATTCTTTATTGTCTAAATGACGTATTTAAAACCCTTTACATACGAGTAATAAGAAAATATTAAAATTTAATTACATAATGTTAGATTTGAATTCGAAATCGGATTATCCGGATATTCGATTATACGGAATACCCCTGGTTTTATTTTATTCAGATAAAAGATTTTAGAATGTATGAATAATTAGAGGAATTTATAGAGAAATACGTATTACAAAAATAGTAAATAATTGAACACAAATATCCTTAATGTTTTATTAATAATATTTTAAATTTAAACAACACAATTGTTATCATCATGTAAATATCATTAAAGTTAATATATACTTGAGTTTTTCTTTCAATTTAATGATCTTGCATAAAAGTAGCGGAGTTAATGGTGGGTAAAGTGCTAATACCTTTCTTGGAGACAACCTTAACTTGGAACTTGGGTAGATTAAGGAACAATCTTTTTTGTATCTCGTGAACACACAGTTTTAGAACTTCATACGCTTCAGTTTCTGTGAGTGCTGGCAAAAAATATGTATAGTGAAGAATATAACAACTAAAGTACTAGATATGTATACAAGATGCAATCTAAATGACTATCATATATATTTTATTAGCCGCTAAATGTCCACTGCTGGACATAGGCCTCCTCCATAAGGGAGAGTTTTGCCAGTAACTGCCACGCTTGACGGACTTGGTAACTACTAACAAAACTCCCCGTATGGGGGAGGCCTATGTCCAGCAGAAGACAACAGCTGATATGATATGGTATGATATTGATTTATTCATTTATTTATTTATTAGATGTAAGCACATTGTCTTAAGGTCAGGTCATATCTTTGTTTACAATTACATTAAAATCTATTAAGTCAAACTGTACAATATTATATACAATTTGAACAACAGCCACTCTTTTGTATTCCCAAAATGTCGTAACCAAGGCAACTACGGAAACGAAATACAATACCGTACTGCCAGAGAAGGAAAACACGAAGAAAACCCCTAAATCAGCCGCCTGCCCAGCATGGTAATGGTGGGCTAATATGGAGGATATTATGGAAATGCAGTCGTGCCATGGTTGTTAAGAAAAAAAAATAGGTCAAGCACTTACATGTCGGGTTACGAATAAAGTAGAGTTTTATAGATATGCTTGCTTGGTAGAATAATTTATTTTTCATTATTAGTGTCTATGCAGCAATAGCAAGTATATGGCGTATAGATATGTCTCTATGACCAAACCTAGTTTTTTTTTTTATAGAAATTAGAATGGCAAACAAGCTGACGGTCCACCTGATGGAAAGTGGTAACCGTCGCCTATAGACATGAGCAGTACCATGAACATAACACAGTATACTATTTCGCCCATGATACCCCCCATGCGATGCCATTCCTGAGGACTCAGGTGTTATTCCTCTGTACCCTGTAAATTCACGCCATATCCCACCCTTCAAACTGAAACACAGCAAAACCAAGATGCAGAGGAGGTATTGTTAGTAATGAGGATCACCAGTTCCACTGCTAGCAATATGCCAGGTCACCTCCAAGAAACAATCGTGCTGAATTTCAGGTGCATTCATCACGATGAACTAACTGACCTGCCTTTCATCCTCACCTATCATCCCTCACTGGGGCCCCGCCAGCGTATATTGTTAACGCGGGTGGGATTACCATTCCATTATCATCTATAAAAAAAAAAAACATGCAGAAACGAAAGAATGAACACAGTTAAGTTATTGTTGAACTCATCGTCATGGCTAACAACATAGTTAATGTAAATTAAACCGGTAGTTATTATATTAAAATAATGTATGTATTTTAATTATCAACAATAAGCTATAAGCCTACTCGTAAAAAAAAAAAAACATTGTCAAAATTATTAATTCAGTTAATGAACTATTATCACAATATTCTAAGTCTGCAATGTACCCTATTAGGTCGACATCCACGCGGATCCCCCTTTTTTTAACATCTGGAAAATGCTTTATACAGACCCATACACCTTGTGGGAGGTGAATGGGTACAGTAGGAATCCCCCCGTAAGATGGGGGTGTACCTACCAAAAACCAGACGATATACTCGAGGTGACATATGTCGGAGACATGGGTTCGCTTTCGCACTCACCACATCTCCGACGTAACGCGGTTCCCCCTGAAAACTATCGTGGTTAATTCTCGTGGAAATATTCACAATGGGCTGACTGACATCCTTTCATCCTCACCTAACATCCTTCACTAGTGCTGCGCCAATGTATATTGATAGCGCAGGCGGGGTTACCATTCCATTTTCACCCATTAGAAAAAAATATTTTAGGTGTAATTTAAAGATTTATTGATTTAATCGTTAAATAAGATTTATTTTAATAAATTGAGGTAAATGATGTATATCTTACTCGGTTTATAGTAACTGTCCAAGATACTCAAACTCAGGATACCGCCGAAACCATGAGCAGCGAATGGGACCTTCATGCACGAAGCCAGAAAATCCATGGTGTATAATTGACCACCTTCGTTTTCATCGAAACCGGCAATAAGCAAGTTCACCATATAAGGATTCTGATGAAGAAATGTAATAATTAAAAATTAATGTAAAATTAAAAATACGTTATATATATAGATTTCAGAAATAAAAAAAAAACCAATAAATTAACTACTCGTACTTCTAGATGACTTATCAAAATGAAAAATACACTAATTTTGTATGTGATTTATGTATGTATAATTTATCTTATATATAATTATTATTTCATTAATCAATATTTATTTTATTTACATATTGATTTTGTTAGATCAATGCACCGCCTACTCTCTCTGTTTAATGTAACACAGTTAACTAGTAGTGAATGCTATCAGGCATTAAATCCGCCTTGTAAACATAATTTAATGTGTGCAAAAGTATAGATAAATAAATAAACTTGAATATAGATAGAATCTTCTCCTTTTATAAATCGATTAAAAATGTATACTTTGTAAATATTTCAACAACACCTCAAAATACGAAAGCAAATGATCATACAAGTTAGACTTTTGAGCGAATACTTAAACTAATTAAGCCTCATTTAGAGATTTTTAATGCAGTTGCTTGCATAAATGAAAGTATTAGTCAGAAACACAATAGAAAGAAGAAAGTATTACTACGAGATTATGGTTCAAATTAGAATAATGATATGTAATGAGATGTAGTCTGCTTGAAAATCGAGGCAACAACTGTAACAATATGTGAGACAAAAGTGATGAAACTAGTCGATGTTCGTGACGTAGCAGTGAGCACGTTGATATGCATAAATGATGTTCCGAGTTCAATTCTTGACGTGGCTAATTTTAGAATTATTCATATCTGCTTTTTTTATAAAACAGGATAAATATAAACTATAAACAAAAAACACTCCATAACATAAAATATCTCAATCGTCCATTCTGAAGATTTTGACATGAATAACATATACAGAATTACAAAACCCTGAAACACTGATGCATTTTTTTTATGCAACTTAGATGACAAATAAGCTGACGGCCCATCTGATGGAAAGTGGTAACCGTCGCCTATAGACAAGAGAAGTACCATAGACATAACAGAGTATACTGTTTCGCCCATGATACCCCCCATGCGTTGTCATTCCTGTGGACTCAGATGTTATTCCTCTGTACCCTGTAAATTCTCTGCCATATCCCACTCTTCAAACCGAAACACAGCCATGCAACATGGCTGCTTTATCACTGAAACATAAATGCATACATAGTCACTGTATATATTAGAAACTAGTTGTGTCCTGTGGCTTTGCCTGTAGTCGTATCGTGACATTGAATAGACTATTACATCAAATGCAAAAATAAGTTTTCAAAATCGACTTGTACTTCCAGTTTATTATAATATTATTTTTATTATATCACTTTGACTATCTACTGCTAAAAAAGGCCTTTCCTAGCCTTCCCCATAAGGAGAATTTTCCAGTAGTTGCCACGCTTAATAATTGTAGTCAGTCTTTGGTGTTATTTTAAGAGCGACGCTGCTACCTATCTCTCGATCATAAAATTTTCTTATTCCCTTATGATAGTCACGGGAAAGGAAGGGGTGGCCGTATTTATGCCGGGACCACACGGCGGATTTATTAAATTAAATTAGTTAGATATTATTACATTTTGACTTTTTACGATGTTCATCGAATACTTTCCCGAATAACTTTACCAGAGGGAAACTTTGTATAAAAGTCGTTTGCTTGGGTACCTCTTTTTTTTTATATAACTTAGAATGGCAAACAAGCTGATGGTCCATCTGATGGAAAGTGATAACCGTCGCCTATAGACATGAGAAGTACCATGGACATAACAGAGTATACTTTTATACCCATGATACCCCCCATGGGTTGCCATTCCTGAGGACTCAGGTGTTATTCCCCTGTACCCTGTAAATTTACGCCACAGAGGTACCTCTGTCTCATTCGTGTTTCTACCGTAAAGCAGTTGTCTTTGTATGGCTGTGTTTCGGTTTGAAGGGTAGGATATGGTAGTGAATTCACAGGATATAGAAGAATAACACCTGGGTCCTCAGAAATCGCAACGCAACCACTTTCCATCAGGTTGTCCGTCAGCTTGTTTGTCATTCTAAGTTGCATTAAAAAAAACTGAATGCTGTCTTTTATAGGAAACTCTATTAAAACGACGGACCATTCTGCTATAGTTTTATAAAAAATATTTAAGAATGTTTACGTATCTTACCCCACTTTTCATTGCCTCGGCCAAGTTCTTCCTCGTGAAATGCACTGCCGCCGCTGTGCTCAGCTGGTACCCGTTCCTCAACTTGTACAGCTGGATGTTCTTCGCAACAAACTGTGCAAACTGGCTCGTATCACCGCTGTCACCATTTATGCCCATTACTAGTTTGTCCGATATTTGCAACACTTTATCTTCGTCTTAAATATTAAAAAATATACAAAATATTATCATTCTATTCTCGTGCTAGAATAGATCCTATGCTAGATAGACAGAGAGTGTTAAAAGTTTCTATTTCCACATACTTTTTTAACTTTAACTTTTTAATCTTAACTTATTATTCATAAAAACGTCAATTCTCTCAGGGTTATGAGTTTAGCTATTGAATTGTTTTGTCTTTTCCTTTTGTTCTCTTTTTCTCTCTCTCTCTTCTTCGTCTCTTCTTCTTTTTTCAAAAGTTCTCATTTTAAATGAAAGTGATAAAATAGTATTATAAGTTTGCAGGAGGTTTTAGTCTCTCTGAATAGGTTTTTAATAAACCTTTTGTAGGAACTATTATATGAAAAATCGAAGAACTTAATGGTCGACAGATGGGCAACAGCATTCTTCTTAAGACTTTGCCAAAAGCCAAACTACGGTTGCCGACCTGCCTTCCAAGCGTGGCAACTACTGGCAAAACCCTCTTTTTAGGGAAGGCTATATTTAGCAATGGACAGATCATCTTTTTTTTATTTCTTTATTATCACAAAATTACAGAATTACAGAAAGTATGTTACATTAGTATTCAGAAACCGCCTAGGTTTATATGAATGCTAAATACAATTAAAGACTAAAATTTTAAATTTAATTAAAACTTGTATTAACATCATGCAAGAAGTATTGTCATTGTCAAGATGATGATGTCATTATACCAGATAAATATGTGCCCTTGAAAAGGAGAATATAATAATTAATAATTCAACTCATGTTTAAAGTTATGATAACCAAGACAGAACTGTGTCAACTGTGCAACCTTGCAAACCCTGCTAACGTTACCTGATGACGTTCACTTGCATTCACAAGGTCTCATGGAGAAAATTATGATAAGAGGCGTCTATTTATAGATAACCGTTTACATAAACTACATGTTTACAAAGTTAGAAACTTGCAGTCACTATTTCTGTTATAGAAATTTATGATTTGCAATCTAATCTACATACGACATGATAATTTTAGAAAATCGATTAACACATTGAGAAGTAAATAAATATCTACCGTGTGTTTATTATATGGTACTACTTACTATGCCACTTTGTTAGATTGGCTGGAAGAAATCTCTTTCAGAGATAAGTTCGCCTTTGCTTACTTTGTTACTAATTTTTTATTATTATTTTTATGCTACTTAGAATGGCAATAAGCATTGTAAGCATTATTACTGTATGTTTTAGTACAATAAAGAATATATATACGTGTATATATATATATATATATATATATATATGGATCTTGGTCATCGCAATATGCAATTTTTGGAAATAACTCGATAGATTTGCTTTAATATGACCTCTACGCAGTACTGTACTCTGTAAGTTTTAATTGCAGAGAAGGCATAGAGAAGGCATGAAGCCTTATTGCCTTGATTGTTATAGAAAACTTATCATTCTACTAAATGATAATGATAAAATTGACAGACTGTGTAGACTGTGTAAAAATAGTATGGCCAGAATGAGAATGTATGCGAATAGAGAAGAATGGAAGATAAATACACAATATTTAATTGATGAAGGAAAATATATTAATCAAAGTGATACTCATTACGTATTTTTGTGCAATCAACATAATAATGATTTCGCAACAATTAACATTATTCCGAAATAATATAAAGCGAGACTCGAATACTTCGGGACTTACATAATTGGACAAGATAAGGGCTCTTAACAATAACAATAATTTTTGAAATTATTCCTGTTCGAGTGACGAGTGGCAAGAGCTCCATGGATTATTGTGCAAATCTCAAATAATTAATGTACGAATAATGATTTTGTAAATACATACATACATACATACATTTAGTTTTTTTTTATACGAATGTATAAAAAAAAACTAAAAGGAGACTTTGTACAAAAGTCGATTGCTTGGGTACCTCTGTCCCATTCGTGTTTCAACCGTGAAGCAGTTGTGTTTGCACGGTTGTGTTTCGGTTTGAAGGGTGGGATATGGCGTGAATTTACTGGGTACAGAGGAATAACACCTGAGTCCTCAGGAATGGCAACGCATGGGGGGTATCATGGGCGAAACAGTATACTCTGTTATGTCAATGACTCTGTTCATGTCTATAGGCGACGGTTGCCACTTCCTATCAGCTTGGCCCTCTACTTGTTTGCTATTCTAAGTTGCATGAAAAAAAACATAATGTAGTCTCTAGGGAAAACCTTGATCTCGAATTTGAGAAATAACTATACTATAATAACTCATAATAATGAATTCACACAATTCATACATCAAACACACAATCACTCACAAATTCAGTATACAATCTAAAGAGAAGGCGAGGTAGAAGACGGACATAAAAATAAAACTGGGGCATACGTACCTTTTTTCCTGTGGGTTACAGGACGGGGTATGTTTTTAAGCCGACATAAGTCGAGAAGGTGAAAACCAAAAATAAATAATGAATATAATAAATTTAATAACACAATTTTATATACTCATAAACAAGTACTGCTTGTAGGCACTGATTCGCTTATGTTTGCTTGTTAATTTTACACTAAATAATTTTGCTTGTACAACGGATTGTGCTCAGAGGAATTATTCTATCGTGTTGAATTAACTGAAAATTAAGTGCACGTTGCAATAAGGTCCTTACCATCTTTCATGACAAGAATACTCTGGATGTCCATCTGATCTGCAGCCATTATAGTGAAGTCTTGACACTGCATGCCGAGTAAACACTGAAATAAGGTGCTTGAATTCGACATATGTAATAGCAACTTATGTCTTGTGCCTTGTATATAATTATTGTAATTTACGTTTGATCGTTCCCACTTATTTATTTATCTTGATTCGCACATTGACATTAGACATTAAGTGTATTTTTTTTTATGTTTATGAAACGTGGAACCTCTTTAATGACAATTACTAATTGTTCTCGTACATAGAATATTATACTCTATGGTTTTAAACATTTCAAACATATTACACTCTATTATGTCCATGGTACTGCTCGTGTCTATAGGCGACGGTTACCATTTTCCATCAGGTGGGCCGTCAGCTTGTTTGACATTCTAAGTTGTATAAAAAAATATAGATATTGTAACTATATAATATATAGGTATTATATATATATATATATATATATATATATATATATATATATAATTATTGTATTTTTATTTTCCAAATACCTTACAAAATCACGATACCATCTGATACGAGTACCGAATGAACTCAAATACTTCACTCACAGAACAATTTCAATATAGGAGTTATAATTTCAATGAGCGAATTAAATACGCTTTAATTTCCAGTAAATTTAGCACCAGTTAAATGAATCAAATATTTATTTTATCTTATCGCAGTTTGGAGTGTTTGGTTAAGTAATATGTCTACGTAGTGCGTAGTTAACGCATCGTTGCCTATGTTTTAATTATTATATTGCTAGGTTTTTGTATGGTTTACGGTACAGTATTTATATTACATTGCTAGGTTTTTGTTTTTTTGATGGGTGAAAATTGTATGGTAACCCCGCCCGCGCTAACGGGATACGCTGGCGGAGCACCAGTGAAGGGTGATAGATGAGAATGAAAACAGACCAGTTAGCCCATCATGATGAATTCATCAGGAATTAAACATGATAGTTTCCAGGGAGAACTGCGAGGAGGTGGACCTGGTTGGGTATATTGCTAGCTATTCTCAGTCTCCATTACTAACAATCCCTTCCCGCTCTACATTGCTAGGTTTTACACGGTGTATTGACGTAATTTTTACTCATGATATATTTTGGTAACTTGAAACCAGTCATGCTCACTATAAGGTCTTGGCTGGTGGCGGTGAAATGGACAGAGTCGTTGAACTCCTTAAAATATGTTTTAACGCAATAATAATTGTCTCATCCGTCATACTCGCGAACGAATGCTGCTCGTTGAGTGTGATCCGCTCATGTTTACTTGCTTATTTTCTATTTAATAATCTATATAAATAGAACCTAATTCCGATTATAGACACACACACGTACACGCACGCGCACGCGCATGCACACGCACATGCACACGTATACGCACACTCACACGCACACGCACACGCGCACACGGACGCACACGCACACGCACACGCACACCCGCACGCACGCACGCACGCACGCAGTCACGCACACAGACACACAAATATACAAATATAAAGTTATCTTGTACATAATAATTTAGTAACTGTAATTGTTGAGGATTATTTTCAGAAGATTAAACATTCCGAATCCAACCGAATAAAGTAGTATCATAAAAAATGACAACTTAAAAGAGCTTGTAAACAAGTCTATTTCAATAAAGATTATTTATATTTCTATAATAATTACACGCGACTTCGTTTGTAACAAGGAAAAAACTAAAGTCGCTATAATGTTACAATCATAATATTTTTATTTTTTCTTATTTTTCGTACCTCTTCACTGTTAAGACGTTTATTTCTCAGACACGCTTAAATTATTAAATGGATGTAAAATATATAGTAGAAAGTTTTTCGTATTCGTATATATATATATATGTGTGATGTACTCATTTAAGTTTAGACTGCAAGTCCCCCCGCTCTTGACACTCCTCTGGGTGACGTCCGGGCGGGTGGTCGTGTGAGTCGCATTGTGACATATTATTGTTTATTATTTCCTACGCCTACCTACCATACCAGGAGGACAGCACAATATATATATATATATAGATTGTGACCGGAAAAAATCGACTACAATTATGAAAAAAAAACAGTTATTTCGGTGTAAAAACTAAACTACTGGACCGTTTATAAGAAAATTTTTATGAGACCAATCTATAAGTATATCTTTTCACATAAAAAAAAAGATTTTTTCTAATCGGTTTAAAACACACGGAGTTCTAAGGTAATAAACATAAAAAAAATACAACGGAACTGAGAACTAAAAAGAAACTTTTTGAAGTCGGTTAAAAATGAACTTGAACGATAGAGTAATATTTAATTTTACAAACGTGTGAAGTTACTCATAACCATTTATAAATATATTTAGTATTCATACAATAATTACTAAAACTATAACTCTAAGATTGAACAATCATTTTTCAAATTTGTCTTCGTTTAATGACCACTTCGTGTGCTAGAAATACACAAAGTGGAGACAAGTCACTCATTAATTAAATTACTGTCAATAAATTATAATGCTTAAGTCGAACTAATTACGTACATAATTATTGGTTGTAAATAAAGAAAATTCAAGGTGAACAGAAAATAGTCGTATTTCAGAGGCCGCGTGATCATTGAGTTATATACTATATATATATATATATATATATATATATATATATATATATATATATATATATATATATATATATATATATCACCAACCTTTAACTGTCCACTGCTAAACACTTGGCAGGCAGATTGGTAACCGCAGTTAGGTCGCTTCTTATAACACCCACAGGAAAGTGGCCTTTTTTAAGCCAGAACACACGGCGATATATATATATATATATATATATATATATATGTATATAAAACATAATAACATATGAACTCATCATGATGGGCTAACTGGCCTGTTTTCATTCTCATCTATCACCCTTCACTGGTGCTCCGCCAGCGTATCCCGTTACGCGGGCGGGGTTACCATACCATTTTCACCCATCAAAAAAAATACAATCGATTTCATTGGATCTGGTTACCATTAAAACAAAGAAATCTCTTTGATTTAATGAAAATAAATTCATATTATTATTTCGTATTTTTCTTTTTTTGTGGTGGTACTAGTGGTACCTAACTGGTATGTAATGAAACGGTAACCCCGCCTGCGCTAACGGTATACGCCGGCGGAGCACCAGTGAGAGATGATAGACGAGAATGAAAAAGCAGATCAGTTGGCCCATCGTGATGAATACAGATGGAATTCAGCACGATGGTGTCTAGGGGGAACCACGAGTAGGTCCCCCTGACCGTGTATATTGCTAGCAATGGGACCGGTAGCCTGTATCACTAACAATCCCTTCCATCCGATAACAGAATGGTAGTTTCGCCTGCGCTAATAGTATACGCTGGCGGAGCATCAGTGAGGATGATAGGTGAGAATGAAAAGGCCGAGGTTTTTCCAAGAGACTACAGCATGGGGTTCTTCAAAAGGGGGGTAAAGACGTTTCTTCAGGGTCGGCAACGCGCACGTAATACCTCTGGTATTGCAGGCGTTCATAAGCTACGGTAACCGCTTACCATCAGGTGGGCCGTATGCTTGTTTGCCACCTCAGTGGTATAAAAAAAAAGATAGCCTATCGTCATGAATACACCTGGAATTCAGCACGATGGTTTCTAGGGAAGACCACAAGGATGTCCCTCTAACCGTGTATATTGCTAGCAATGGGACCGGTAGGCCTGGTTATCTTTTTTTCCAGATAGTATTTATATTAGTTATATAAAAAAATATTAATATAAAATCTAATGCATAATTTATTTATTTTTTATTGTTATATTTTTATTACCAGAGGGAGACTTTGTACAAAAGTCGATTGCTTGGGTACCTCTGTCCCATTCGTGTTTCTACCGTGAAGCAGTTGTGTTTGCATGGCTGTGTTTCGGTTTGAAGGGTAGGATATGGCGTGAATTTACAGGGTACAGAGGAATAACACCTGAGTCCTCAGGAATGGCAACGCATGGGGGGTATCATGGGCGAAACAGTATGTGTGTGTACTGTTATGTCCATGGTATTGCTCATGTATAAAAAAAGAACCTAATGCATAATTAATTTATTTTTTGCTATTATATTTTTATTTATTACATACCTGTTCGATTATGGATATGCGTATGCATTAACTGTTACTTAATAAATATTAACTCATAGTTTTATTCATAATTATGATTTATAGTTCGTTTGATGTTTACACAAGATGTTTAACAATATAAGAGAGATTTTTAGATAGTGATAATATCATGCAGATGGGTTTTAAAGTGTTAATAATAATCATATAGACATAATGCATAAAAATTGTTTGTATATAAAACATAATAACATATCCACATATGTTATTATGTTTTATATATATATATATATATATATATATATATATATCGCCGTGTGTTCTGGCTTAAAAAAGGCCACTTTCCTGTGGGTGTTATAAGAAGCGACCTAACTGCGGTTACCAATCTGCCTGCCAAGTGTTTAGCAGTGGACAGTTAAAGGTTGATGTGATATATATATATATATATATATATATATATATATATATATATATATATATATATATATATATATATATATATATACCGTTAGCGCAGGCGGGGTTACCGTTTCATTACATACCAGTTAGGTACCACTAGTACCACCACAAAAAAAGAAAAATACGAAATAATAATATGAATTTATTTTCATTAAATTAAAGAGATTTCTTTGTTTTAATGGTAACCAGATCCAATGAAATCGATTGTATTTTTTTTGATGGGTGAAAATGGTATGGTAACCCCGCCCGCGTAACGGGATACGCTGGCGGAGCACCAGTGAAGGGTGATAGATGAGAATGAAAACAGGCCAGTTAGCCCATCATGATGAGTTCGTCAGGAATTAACCATGATAGTTTTTAGGGAGAACCGCGAGGAGGTGGACCTGGTTGGGTATATTGCTAGCAAAAGGATTCTCAGTCTTCATTACTAACAATCCCTTTCCCTCCTATCGATTGTATTAGAGTAACTGTCTACTTTCGGTGTTACATTATTAGATAATGAGTTAGTTTTATACACTGTAAAACTATGAGCCATTGTAACAACGTATTGTGAGTCGGAGGTGTCATTATCGAGAGTGTGGAAACGAGAGTAAACATGACAAAAACTTGACAAGTGACCACTGACCAGCACATACGCCTACATGTGAAACCATAGACATGAAACCTTACTTACTTTTGTTTTATTTTATTCTAAATTTTGCAAAATCTATATTTATCTACATTATAAAAAAAAAAAAAACAATATTTAAGTATGTCTCCTCTTCTCTCTGACCGACATATATATGTATTTTTTTTTTTATTAACAATTACCTTATGGAAATAAATACATTTTTTTATACAACTTAGAATGGCAAACAAGCTGACAGCCCACCTGATGGAAATTGGCAACCGTCGCCTATAGACATGAGCAGTACCATGGACATAACAGAGTATACTGTTTCGCCTATGATACCCCCCCCCCCCCTACGTTGTCATTCCTGAGGGCTCAGGTGTTATTCCTCTGTACCCAGTAAATTCACGCCATATCCCACCCTTCAAACCGAATCACAGCTATGCAAACACAACTGCTTCACGGTTGAAACACGAATGCAACAGAGGTACCCAAGCAATCGACTTTTGTACAAAGTCTCCCTCTAGTATATTTAATAACAGCATATTTTTTAATAACATATGTTATTGATTTATTAAAAACTAGCGGCCCGTCCCGGCTTCGCGCGGGTGGACATTTTTACAACATTTTAAAAAGTGATTATTGTGACATAATGATAATAATTGGGCATATAGTGACGCGAAGTTTTTTGTAGTTATTGATATTTTCTTCAATATTATAGAACATACTTTTGTTCTGTCACCAATAGTTTCCGCAGCGCACGCGACCAAAGATATTTTATAGCATTTTCTAACACCTTGAGTTACATTACTAAAGTTTAAGTAAGGATCCCTAATCTTTTCTAGCAATAAACATAGCCTATATTACTCAGGGTGAATGTAGCTTTCTAATGGTGAAAGAATTTTTGAAATCGGCAAAGTAGTGTTTGAGTTTATTAATTACAAACATACATACACACAAAAATACAATTCTTTCCTCTTTTATAATATTAGTTAATTAAAAATAATCACATTGTAAATCCCACTCAACCATCAGTGTCCTAGTACTCACAGTACAAGGTTTGCTTAAGTTGAAACTGTAAAATTTTTCCAAAGGTATTTATTATAATTATTGAAATATTTTCTGTGAATATTCGACGTCGTTCTTCATCATCGTCATCATATCAGCGTTTAACTGTCTACCGTTGAACATAACCCTTTCCCTTAGGGGGTTCTGCCAGTAGCTGCTACGTTTGGCAGGCGGATTGGCAACCGCAGTTAGGCTTTAGGGATATATAACAGGAACGCTGCTGCCCATCCCTCGCCCTTAGTCACTCACGGGATCGGAAGGGTAGCCTATTCTATGCCGGCACCATATGGCCACGACATCTTTCTTAATTTAGTGAAATACCTAAGAAAAATCACTAACGTTCAATTTTCTACAACGTATTTTATGTAGATGAGGAATGAAAACATGGTGTTCATCCCATCTCGAGGCGCCCACCATTTGCCGGAGATTATGTGAGTTCAGTTCAACGAACAATTTTATTTATGACTGGGATATGTTACATTACGCGCGAAACGGCATTAGAGAGTTTTCATTCTATTTTTAACCTTATTGCTGTTAAAATAAAGAAGTTTTTATATGAATGTAGTATTAAATCCTACAAATATTACAAATGTGGAAGTGAGTTTATTACCTCTTAGCGCCATCGTCATGAAATTTAGTAAACATACTCGTTGTATTTGAAATGGATAGAGATAAAACTGTTTTTATCCCGGTTTATAAATATATTCTTCATGTGAACAAAGTCGCGTATAAAAACTAGTATTTACTACCTAAATATGACATTAGATTGTCTATGATTTTGTTGACTCTACATGTGTTTTTTGTACAACTTAGAATGGCAAACCAGCTGACGGCCCACTTGATGGAAAGTGGTAACCGTCGCCTATAGACATGAGCAGTACCATGGACATAACAAAGTATACTGTTTCGCCCATTATACTTCCCGTACGTTGCCATTCCTGAGGACTCGGGTGTTATTCCTGTGTACCCAGTAAATTCACGCCATATCCCACCCTTCAAACCGAAACACAGCTATGCAAACACAACTGCTTTTTCGTGTACGTGTATGGGACCTTTGACAAGTTGTTTCCATTCACGATGGAAAAATCATCAAATATATAGTTATGTAACACGTACGGTGATCGGTCAAACGCATTGGCAAAGCGTATTGATAGTCAATCACGTATAAAGGTCAGACGTTGGACAATATTTCCACAGATATTTCCTTTGCTAAAACCAATTACTGGTTGCTTTATTAGTATTATTACACAACTGCTCAAAAATAGAATGTAATGTTTTCAGGACTCACATATGTGAGTTTCTTTATAACAACATAACTTCTAAATATTTAAACAGATTTGGACGTAAAATATTTAATTAAATTTACCAGAGGGAGACTTTGTACAAAAGTCGATTGCTTGGGTACCTCTGTCACATTCGTGTTTCAACCGTGAATCAGTTGTGTTTGCATGGCTGTGTTTCGGTTTGAAGGGTGGGATATGGCGTGAAGTTGCTGGGTACAGAGGAATAACATCTGAGTCCTCAGGAATGGCAACGCATGGGCGAAACAGTATACTCTGTTATGTCCATGGTACTGCTCATGTCTATAGGCGACGGTTACCACTTTCCATCAAGTAGGTCGTCAGATTGTTTGTCTATCTAAGTTGTATAAAAAAAAAATTTGAGATACCGTTAGTATCCTTTACCATCCAGAGAAATACTTGGTATATTTTTTTAAGAAGTTTTTTCAATTTTAGAAGAGCAATCGTGTTCTTTAAAATGCACATCAAAATGTATTTATTTTGGTGATGGAAAACCTAGTTGTCGGGGGGGAAAGGAATTGTTAGTAATGGAGACTGAGAATCCTATTACTAGCAATATACCCAACCAGGTCGACCTCCTCGCGGTTCTCCCTGGAAACTATCACGGTTAATTCCTGATGAATTCATCATGATGGGCTAACTGGCCTGTTTTCATTTTCATCTATCACCCTTCACTGGTGCTCCGCCAGCGTATCGTATAGCGTTAGCGCGGGCGGGGTTACCATACCATTTTCACCCATCAAAAAAAAAACCGAGTTATCGACGTCATATTGATCACAATGGTAACAATCAATAAATGCTTCTTATTCGTATTTTCCCATATTTTTTTTTCTTTAATTTGGCAATTAGTTAGTGTTGCCCAATATGCCACATACAAAGGAACGTATAGGATTTTTAGGTAGGTTTTTTAGTAACTTAATTATTTATTTAATAAGGTTCACCTATAACTTTTACATTTTACATGCTACTTGATCAATAACACAAGAAATATTTTGTCTGATGTAAAAGTGTTTTACAGGCGAACACCACATGCACTATTATAATATTTAATAATTATTAACAATGACAATAACAATATCTGAATAATAAATAGATTAAGAACTTATGTCTAAGATTTGCCTCAATAAGTTATATCTGCTGTTGATGGATCCAAAATTGATGTCAATTTGATCGCTGTGAGCATTCAGAATCCTACATAATCTGGGTACAGGCGAGTTGGCTCCTAACACTGTTTTTCTTAACGGAGGACATAAAGGTGTTATCTGTTTCAAAGGTATTTTAGAGTAATCATGGATTAAAGTCCATTAGATATTATAAAGATTCTAATATTAATATAATTTAGTAAAAATGAATTACCTACCAGTACATTTTCCTTTTCTCCAAAATTAATTCCCAATTCCCATCATCCCGCATGGTTCACTAGGGCTTCAGTGTAGTCTGAGAGACTCTCATGATTTGGTACACTCTGACATCCCGTTGTGGTCATTGTGTTCGCACGTTATCTGATATGTTACTGTGAGAATTGGCTTAACCTTACACTAGCACTGTAATAAGCGACGGATAATCACGCATTACTGCATCTAGATAATGCATTGTCTATGCTTAACAACTGTTAAGTTAATCGTGTTTCCCTTGGCCTATAATTATTTTTTTAATCTGTCTAGATATAGTTCACCGAGGTACAGGACGTAATAGAAAGATACTCGTATTTATGACACTTTTTTTTATTGAACTATGGTGGCAAACAAGCTGACGGCCCACTTGAAGGAAAGTGGTAACCGTCGCCTATAGACATGAACAGTACCATGGACATAACAGAGTATACTGTTGCGCCCATGATACCCCCCCATGCGTTGCCATTCCTGAGGACTCAGGTGTAATTCCTCTGTACCCAGTAAATTCACGCCATATCCCACCCTTCAAACCGAAACACAACTGCTTCATGGTAGAAACACGAATGGGACAGAGGTACCCAAGCAATCGACTTTTGTACAAAGTCTCCCTCTGGTAAGTTTATGATGGCCCATAAAATAATAATTTCGCTTGCTAGCATATTGCATATTTAAAAAAAATTTAAAGGAACTTTTATTTTTAATTTTTTTTTTAATTTTTCTTTTTTAATAAACAGGTATCGAACATGTAGAACAATAGTCTTTTTTAATTTGTCCAAAAAAGTATTCTATAATTTATTAAATGTAACGTTTAAATATATTATACTTTTTAAAGTTTATTTAAAAATTACTATAATCAGCTGAATAAATTTTGACAACTTTGTGAAAAATTTTCAACTATTTTTTTTTATAGTATAGGTAGGTATCATGTAATATTACGCGAATAAACATGTCACAAAATTTTGATGCGGAACTTATAGGAATTATACACACTCTATGAAATCCAGTGTCCACCATAAAAGCTAGTGAAATATTGTAATACGACGCAATCATGATTATTACAAACCAGTGGACACTGTAAATGTGCAAGTGACAGGAACAATTGCCTTTGTCGGTTTAATAAAGAAGAAAAGAAATGCCAGATACACTCTCCCTCTCTGCTGGAGTCAGCTTTGGCCTGCTGGCTGGAATCGTATCAGGGGTTTGCTACCTCGTCGCCAATGGCTTCATGTGGCCTCGGTAAGTGACTTTACTATTAAACAATATTTATTTCCAAAAGTTTAAGAGGAATAATAGTTTTAATAACTTTGTAACTAGATGGCGTTATATAATTTTTATGGTTTTTATTTATTTTTAGTAATAATGCTTTTTAATATTACAAATTATATTATTTTTAGTATGTATTTTATGTAGGTATGTATAGTATATTTAACTCTAACATATCGTCTAACTGAAATGGCCTGAAGGATATGGTGTCGTTCAAGTTATTCAGTATATTTATGAAAATGTATACCCACATGACAATATCCGTTAACATAAAATAAATATAGCCATAAATATAGTTGGTCGGGAATGCGCATGTGACACCCCTAGTGTTGCAAGCGTCCATAACTTATAGTGTCCGTTTACCACCAGACGGACTGTACGCTTGTTTGCCACGTTCGTAGTATAAAAAAAGTTACCAACTACTAATTAAACAACTAATTTAACCAAAGACAAAAAACAATCTGTTAATTACGTTATATTACTATATCGTAAATAACAGAATTTTTTGTGTCATTGTCACGTCCACTTGTGTAAAATCCTTGATTAAGCTATATTTATATAATAAGTATATATGTCTATTCTCTGTAGTGTTGCCAACTAAGCGGAAATTGAGTAACATTTTAAATTGAAAAGCAATGATTTGTAGTTCCAAACAAATAAATTATCTATAGCTATTTATTCTTTTTTTTTTTTCGCTCCATATAGCACGGTACATATTGCATCCGCCAAAATATTTGTTCTTAAAAACCTATTGAGTAGCACAAGAGTTATAATTTCAAATTAATGCCGCAAAAATATTAGATAAATACCAACATATAAAAAAAAGTATTTTAAACTTAGAATTTTATCTACAGCGTTATCTATCGGCAGTACACGTAAGCTACGGAGTAGCGTTACTTATTGTTCTACAAGTAGAATGGAATTGTAACAAAAAACGTTCACACTGTGAATACTAGAGGGCTCTGTCTCCAATATTATGCTCATTTAAACTGCAAAGGACCAATTACGCCTTTCTTATGATTTCATAATAAATGACATTTTTCCACTAAGATTACTTTTGAATATACGAGACGACTGATGATAATTTGTTACCGTAACCTGTAAATACCTGCAATACCTACCAGATGCGTTTGATTTCAATCAACTTCAAAAAGGAGGTTTTCAATTCGTTTGTATTTTCCCTCATAACTCCGTCAGTTTTAAACTATTTTGGAAAAAATATTTTTATCTAAAAAGATACACTTACAGATTGGTTCCATCGAAATATTATCAAAATCGGATAGTTTAGTTTTTAAGTCAAAATAACTGGTTTTGTCAACTGAAATCTATTTTTTTTTGGCCGCAATCTTTTATGGTCCGCTGAAGTTTACTGGTGCCCAGTCAGTAGACTTCAGCGGACAGCAGCAGTTCAGCAGCAGTTTATAACAATAACGTAGGCAGGGTGGGCATATATTATATATATATATATATATATATATATATATATATATATATATATATATATATATATATAAACCATTATTATATTAAATTCGAAAAAAAACTCAGTAAATTTATAAGACCGTGATACATTTACTGAGTTTTTATGATACTACCGTTCAAATTTCACTCATAAAGAAAAGAATAGTTCATAAATAGGTTCAGACTTGTTTATTACTTACTTAACATCTATATCTTTTCCTTGTATAGAAGTACCTATGGACAGAATACCGTAGATACAATCTGACATTAATGTTATCAAAGTTAATATTAAAAAGGGAACTGTAAATATTTAAATAAATTTTATTACTACGCACTAACTGTGTACGTAGATAAACTAACACGTGCCTTAAAGTATATTCAACCGACTTCAAAAAAGAAGGAGATTCATCCTCTTCATAACTCCGTCAGTAACAAACAGATTTGAATTTTTTTTTTAAACCAAAAGGATATACTTATAGATTAGTTCTAAAGAAATTTTATCAAAATCGGTTAAGTAATTTAGTTTTTAAATGATCTTGTCATGACTGAAGACTTTTTTTATGAAGACTTTTTTTTTTGTTTCATAAAAGACGTTCTTTTATGAAACAAAATTATATGCACTTTATTACACCAACTACCTTACCCGCCGCTTCGTCTGCGTGACGGGGATATTTGAAAAAAAATAAAAAATAATTTAAAAAATATATATATTACTATATTAACATAGACCTCCCTCTCTTAGGGAGGTTCGCCAATAGTTGCCACACTTGGCGGGCGAATTAGCAATCGCAGTTAGGTCTTGAAGATGTTTTAATCCATCCCCATCCCTCATGTGAAGTAAGTGAAATATGTGAAATGGAAACATTACGCAAAATAATTAATCTAATATAGGTATTTCTTTTTAATGAATGATAATGGAATGGTAACCCCATTGCGGTAACGGTATACACCGGCGGGGCACCAGTGAGGGATGATAAGTGACAATGAAAAGGCAGGTCAGTTAGCCCATCGTGATGAATGCACCTGGAATTCAGCACGATGGTGTCCAGGGGGGACCACGTGGAGGTCGACCTGACAGGGTATATTGCTAGCAATGAAATTAAAGGCATATTGCTAGTTCGCATTACTAACAATCCCTCCCCCCCCCCAACATAGGTACGTTAGAAATATATAATTTTGATTGCTCGTTGAACACACAGATAGAAATCACTCCGCATTATTGTACAGTATGTCGTCACATCCGTGTTTGGCCATGTGATATTTGGACAAAAGCATGGCATTAATGGAGTTACACCATGCGGAACACGTGGACACGCGGGGCGAACGGACCTTTACTGTATCGTAAGACTAGTTTTTAGCCGCAACTTTGTCCGTGCGACCGACTGACTGCTTCACTGATCACATCGCATCAGCCGTTAACTGTCCACTGCTGAACATTGGCCTCCCTATAAGGGCGGTTTTGCCAGTAGTTGTCACGCTTGGCAAGCAGGTTGACAACCGCAGTTAGGCTTCGGTGCTATTTTAAAGGGGACGCTATTGCCGATCTTACATTACTTTTTTTTTACTCCGTTAAAAATGGCATAAACGTTATTCAAAATTTAAGGATAGTATCTGTGGTTATTATTCTTAGGTACTTATTTTTTTTCCAAGAGAGTTTATCCTAAGAGACTACAGCATGGGGTTCTTCAAAAGGGGGGTAAAGAGGTTTCTTCAGGGTCGGCAACGCGCGTATAATAACCTTGGTATTGCAGACGTTCATAGGCTATGGTAACCGCTTACTATCAGGTGGGCCGTATGCCTGTTTACCACCTCAGTGGTATCAGACAAAATAGGTACATATTATTTAAGAACTACAGACTGCTGCTGTTTTAAAATTCAACCAAAATAAACAGGCAAGGAGCATGACCGGTACGACGTAGTCATAAGTTTACATTTATTCATCGCAAATAGGAAAAATTTCATCATTATTAAAAATAGATATTTTCTAATAGCCGTCCATAGGGGGGAAAGGGATTGTTAGTGATGGAGACTGAGAATCCCATTGCTAGCAATATACCCAACCAGGTCGACCTCCTAGCGGTTCCCCCTGGAAACTAACATGGTTGATTCCTGATGAATTCATCATGATGGACTAACTGACCTGTTTTCATTTTCATCTATCACCCTTCACTGGTGCTCCGCCAGCGTATCCCGTTAGCGCAGGCGGAGTTACCATTCCATTTTCACCCATCAAAAAAAAAATAGCCGTCCATAGGGTACAGTAACCCCTTTTACCATCAGACGGGGCGTATGCTTCTTTTCCGCTAATCATCATTTACAAACATCAACTGTAATAACTGGCGAAAAAAAGCAAGAAGAGAAAAGAAGCCGTCAAGGTATCACGTCCGCAATCCGTTACGGGAGGCAACGGTCTCGACAAGTAGGTATCGGATTTGTATCGAATAACACAGCCAATTTGTTAGAGAAATTGGCTGTAGTCGATTAATCGAACATGTTTTTACGGAACATTGGTTAATACACAGAAATGAGAAACTGTTATAGAAGGGTGAATATTTTTTTTTTAAAGATTACGTAATCAAATATAATAATATATATTTTTAAATTACATAAATAATACTATCAGCAAATTGTATTATTCACCATTAAACGTAATCAAAATTAAATTAACCCTTCTTTGCATAATGGTGGAAATTTCCATCATAACATTGAATGGCCAAAAATTATATAAAAGAACAAGTTCACTTTAAGTTGATCGTCTCTGAATACCATTTTAATGTCCATTGCAGAAAAAAAAAACATAGCTGTAATTTTTTTTTAACCATTTATCTTTTTATTTTGAACATGAATTATATCACCTCGATTTATTTCACCCATCAAAAACAAAAACTGACGGAGTTATGAGGTAACATACATAAAAAAGAATACATCCGAACTTAGAACCTTCGTCTTTTAAAATCGATTAAAAATAAGGAATCTACTTCTTTGAACTAGATTATAAAACAACCTCTTTGATTGATAATAATCAACCTACTTTTTTTTAAAATGTAACAAAAATCATTCTTTTATGAATAATAACAATAAACAAAAAGTAAAACAAGATTATTGAGATCACCTGCAGTCTACCGTAACAGATGCTGCGCGAGTCAACAATTGCTCAATAATTTATCAAACGCGAATTTAAAACGTAGAGTTATCAAACAGTTGACGGGACTATTGCAAATGGCCCGCAAAATTCGCTCTTTGGACTTTCATTAAAAGTATTTTGTAATATTGCGACTTATGGCTGAACACTAGTTCTTATTCTTAGCAGAGCACTGGCATGCCATTTAGCTACAAACAAAATTGCTTATGTAATGTATCAGTATAAGTATAATAATATATATATCCCCAATATTTCATCAGATCGGAAAGGGATTATTAGTAATGGAGACTGAGAATCCTATTGCTAGCAATATACCCAACCAGGTCGACCTCCTCGCGGTTCTCCCTGGAAACTATTATGGTTAATTCCT